TTTCCTGATGACTAAGGATGTTGAGCATTTCTTTAAGTGTTTCTCTGCCATTCAATATTCCTCTTTTAAGAATTCTCTGTTTGACTCTGTACCTCATTTTTCAATTAGATTATTTGTTGCTGTTTAACTTCCTGAGTTCTTTATATATTCTGGATATTAGCCCTTTGTCACATATAGGGTTGGTGAAAATACTTTTCCTGTCTGTAGGCTGTCTTTTTTTTCTGATGAGAGTGTCCTTTGCTGTACAGAAGCTTTTTATTTTCATGAGGTCCCATTTATTGATTGTTGATATTATAGCTTGTGCTGTTGTTGTTCTGTTCAGGAAGTTGTCCCGTGTGCCAATGAGTTCAAGGCTCTTCTCCGCTCTTTCTTTAACAGATTTAGTGTGACTGGTTTTGTGTTGAGATCTTTGATCCACCTGGGCTTTAATTCTGTGGGTCCCTTAGCATTTTTCTACATGTAGTAATCCAGTTAAACCAGCATCATTTGTTGATGATGCTGTCTTTGTTCCATTGTCAAAATCAAGTATCTGTAGGTGTGTGGGTCTATTTCTGGGTTTTCTATTTGATTCCATAAATCCATCATTTTGTTTCTATGCCAGTACATTGGAGTTTTTATTACTATTGCTTTGTAGTACAGCTTGAGATCAGGGATGGCAATACCTCCAGATGATTTGTTGTTGTCCAGGACTGTTTAAACAATTCTGTTGTTTGTTTGTTTGTTTGTTTGTTTGTTTTTCTATATGAATTTGAGAATTGTTCTTTCAAGGTATATAAAAATTATGTTGGTATTTTGAAGGGAATTACATTGAATATGTAGACAGCTTTGGGCAAGATGAGAATTTTCTCTGTTAATCCTACCGATCTGTGAGTATGGGAGATCTTTCCAATTTTTGATATCTTCTTCGATTTCTTTCTTCAGATACTTGAATTTTTTTTTCAGACATATGTTTCATTTGCACTTGCTTGGTTTGAGTCACACCAAGGTACTTTATGTTATTAGAGGCAATTGTGAAGGGTGTTATTTCTGTAATTTATTTCTCATCCCCTTTTGTTTTCATACAGGAGGGCTACTGATTTTTGAGTTAATTTTTATCCAGCCACTTTGCTGAAGGTGTTTATCAGCTGAAGGAGTTCTCTGGTTGAATTTTTGGGGTCACTCATGTATACTATCATATCATCTGTGAATAGTGATACTTTGACTTTTCTGATTTTGCTGATTTGAATAGTTTCTTTCTGCCTTTCCATTAGTTTGGCTAAGAGTTTGTCTATCTTGTTGAGTTTCTAACGAACCAGCTCTTGGTTTCATTGATTCTTTGAATTGTTTTCTTTTTTTCTAATGCATTGATTTCAGCTCTGAGTTTGATTATTTCCAATTGTCTACTCCTCTTGGGTGTGTATGCTTTTCTTTTTTTTTCTTTTTTTTTTTTTTTTTTTTTTTTTTTTTT